ATGCATTTACTTTCGACTTAGAAAAAGCCCTGCCATTTCCAGTTATATCAACTTCACTGGCATACTACAAAAGAAATATGTACGCATACAACCTTGGTTGCCACGAAATGGAAACTGATCTAGGTTACATGTACGTTTGGAATGAGACGATTACTTCCAGGGGTTCTCAAGAAATCGGTTCATGTATCTCCAAACACCTCCAGACTCGAGCTTCAACATGCAAGCACGTTGTGGCCTATAGCGATGCATGTACTGGACAAAATCGTAACATCAAAATAGTGCTTTTTTCATGCTATTAGTGAGCAGCGAAGCGAATGAAATTGACGTCATAGATCACAAATTTATGGTTAGCGGACATTCATTCTTACCAAATGATTCCGATTATGGTTCTGTGGAAACATACGCCAGGAACAAAACCATATACGTTCCTGAAGACTGGTGTAATATAATTACACAGTGTAGAAGACATAAACCATTCCACCTGACTAAAATGTTCAGAAAAGATTTCCATTCAGTAGAGCTGTTGGAGAAAGCCATAACTAGAAGAACGAAGAATGAGAACAACCAGCCAGTTAATTGGCTCAAAATTCAATGGATCAGAGTTGTGAAAGAAAAGCCTTACGTATATTATTATACAAAAGAAACGCTTTCCGAAGACTTTCCATTTGCATGTATAAATCTAAAACCCAAGAAAGGTGGAAGACCTTCACTTCTTTCAAATATACCGACTACAGATCTGTACTCTGAGACACGACCAGTGACAGCGGCAAAAAAAAAGGACATGTTGGACCTCCTTCCATACATACCCCCCATTCACCATGACTTCTTTAGGAATTTATCCACGGCGCCAAATACGAACGATACAACTCCATTAATGGATATTGAAGAGGAAGAAGGAACCGAACATTAATGTTATATTTTTTTCGTTCTACTTTGTGATAATGTATTGTGATAAATTCTTACATTTCTACATTAAATAGTACTTAAAACAAAAAATAATGTACTTTTTTTTTTAATTTTTTTTTTGGAGCCTTTGTAACTAGAAGAAGGACTTCATTGATAAGCAAAGTGGTGTAAGTCACTTTGCGCCCGTATAAAACAAAAACTACATCGATTTTTAGTATTCATACAACTTTACAATAAAACTTTAGGGTGTTGTTACAACATCCCTTTGTACTAAATTTTGGTTTTATAATTTGGGAGTTTATTATTTACACAATTGCAAAACTTTGTGTTTCTCAGAAGTACTATTACTTGACTTACACCACTTTGCTTTTTACCGGCTCATATTATATTCTCTATAATAAGACAAAAATTTATTTGTCACGCATATTTTATAGATTTCTTTTCGTCGTACCGCATAGCACAATTAGAGTACCTAATCGAGAAAATTAAAACTTAAAACTATAATTCTGGTGTGGAGACTCCAGGAGAGTCTCAGATACTACCCTAGAAGTTTTAGACCTCTATCTCACCCGGAAGTGGTCGTACCGCCGAACCCAAACAGAGTAAACGTCAAATATAAAACTTAAGCTAGACGCTTTAAATTTGGTATGGAGGCTCCAGGAGGGTCTCTGATACTACCCTAGAAGTTTCAGACCTCTATCTCACCCGGAAGTGGTCGTACCGCAGAGCCCAAATAGAGTAAACGACAAAATTGAAACTTAAGTTAGAAGCCTCAAATTTGGTATGGAGACTCCAGGAGGGTCTCTGATACTACCCTAAGAGTTTCAGACCTCTATCTCACCCGGAAGTGGTCGTACAGCAGAGCCCAAATAGAGTAAACGACAAAATTAAAACTTAAGCTAGAAGCCTCAAGTTTGGTATGGAGACTCAGGAGGTATAAATACTACCCCACAAATTTCAGGCTTTAGCTAAAGTTTTCAGGCTTCGTCGTTACTATTTGAACTTACGCGGCGTCGGAAAGATGGTCTGAAAGCAGAGGTATCCATCCTGGGGTCTCCTGCAAGGCAGGCACTGGTACATATTTGTTTCGTTTACTCTGTTGGGCTTTCTGCGGCCGACTGCTTTCAGCGGGCTGGGGCAATATACCAGACGAACTTCAGCAAGTTTGTTGTTTGTTGAGCTCTGCGTACGACCGCTTCAATGAAGATTAAACCTGGGGGCCATCTGAACCCTCACAGAGCATCCATACCTGGAGCTTCTGGCAAGTTTTTAATTTTGTTGTTCTACTATTTGAACTCTGCGGTACGATCACTTCCAGGTGAGATAGAGGTCTGAAACTTTTTAGGGTAGTATCAGAGATCCTCCTGGAGTCTCCATACCAAATTTAAAGCGTCTATCTTAAGTTTTATACTTGACGTTTACTCTATTTGGGCTCTGCGGTACGACCACTTCCGGGTGAGATAGAGGTCTGAAACTTTTTAGGGTAGTATCAGAGATCCTCCTGGAGTCTCCATACCAAATTTAAAGCGTCTAGTTTAAGTTTTATATTTGACGTTTACTCTATTTGGGCTCTGCGGTACGACCACTTCCGGGTGAGATAGAGATCTGAAACTCTTAGGGTAGTATCAGAGACCATCCTGAAGTCTCCATACCAAATTTGAGGCTTCTAGCTTAAGTTTTATATTTGACGTTTACTCTATTTTTTATTGGTTCTGCGGTACGACCACTTCCGGGTGAGATTCAGGTCTGAAACTTCTAGGGTAGTATCAGAGACCCTCCTGGAGTCTCCATACCAAATTTGAGGCTTCTAATTTAAGTTTTAATTATGTCGTTAACTCTATTTGGCCTCTGCGGTACGACCACTTCCGGATGAGATACAGGTCTGAAACTTCTAGGGCAGTATCAGAGACCCTCCTGGAGTCAGTACCAGCATTTCATATATCCATGTACTAGTACGTAAAAAAATGTTTACTCATCTGCCACTATAAGTTATTAAAAAATCTTAAAGTGATTAGTTTTTTACAAATAATATACCTACTTCGTATAATAAAGAAGCAAAATTTTTAATAAATTGAAAAGGTATTATTTTGATACCAAATCATCAAGACTCTAAATAAATTATATGTATAATTAATTCTTACAACTTGTCTTTATTGCTCCACATCTACACATAGGTATACAGTATATATGTCGGATTGTCTTTTACAAGAGGAAAAACTTTTTTATTGTCGACATTTTGAGAAAAAAGAAAAAATTAAAAAAAAATTTTTTGCTTATTCGAAAATGAATCCCTTTATACTTTTCAAAATTTCCGTACCGCTTTAGAAAATTAAAGAGAAAAACATGAAAATATTAGGCTAGAATATTAAATTATTATTTTTTGTTAGAATTTTTTTATTTTTATATTTTATATACCATAGAAACGTTTTGATTTTTTAGGACTTAGAAAGATTCAACAATATTTTCATGTTTTCTTTGCTTCCTTTGCTCTAAACGGTATGGAAATTTGAATATAAGTATACGGATTACAGGATTAACCATTTTAGAACAAGCAAACATTTTTTATGAGGAATGCATTTATCTCAAAATATCAATAATAAAAATGTTTTTCCTCTTGTAAAGCTAATCGAGATGCCTGTTCTACTAGTACCCTAGTACCAAGAATAATACTTAATACCTATTATTCTTTGCTAGTACCCTTCTGTCGCTTCTAGTACAATTATATTTATTTTATGAATATCATATGCAACCAATGATTCACTAATCTGGGGCAAAAGCAATATATTTTTTATATTTGATAGTATTAATTATATTATAGCAATTTAATTAAGTAAACGATTGAATATAACAACTACTGTGTTAGTAATTGTTTATTTAAAGCCAGTATTTTGATAATTTCTAGAGTTTAAAATAAAATAAAAATCTTAAAGGAAAATGAAAACATATCGGCAACATGGCACGAAAAATTGTAAATATAGATGGCCGATTTACCGATTTGCTTAATATCAAGGCTTATATTTCTTAAGTATTATCGATAATTTATGTAACAAAGTATTGTTTTTCGTTGACACAAATGATTTATATACACTAATATTGAAAGCTAGGTACTGTTCAATTCGTGAGGTTTGGAACTTTCGTCACAGATTGCTATTCTCTCTCTTATCCATGTTTATCACATGAAATGGAAATTTTGTGTCAAAAACGTAAGTCCATTATATTGATTACATCATTATTTTATTTTTTTTATATACTGATCACATGCTGATCCCTATTATTACGGATAAAATATTTATGTCCTTGTCCGATAAGCACGAATAGAAAAGGACAAACACCGTGTTTGTATTACCCGCCGAAATTGAACAATACGGAACGCCGACTGTCAAAGTTGTCGTTAAATTTTAACGGCTTTCCGATAGTTTCCATGATTTTTTCAAAGAGGATTTTTTATCACTTTTGATATTTTGTGGGAGATTTTCATGTTTACTGAGTTGACTGTGATTTAATTTGTGTTTAAAATTCCGTCCCGTTTTAGTGAAAACGAACAACGGCTCATATTAAAAGTTATCCAGTATTTCAAACTCGAAAAAATGCTGGAAAACCCCTTTTGCCTGTGTCGGCTGTTTACGATGTAATTGGACAACTAACTAGAATTAACATTTTTTTTAACTAAATCGAAAATATTCGCGTGTTTGATAGAGAGCATCGGAGGCTTTAGGAATTTCACGCATGACTGTGTAAAAGAATCAGTCTCAAATAAGTAAAAGATGAAGAACAAAAAGCAGCAACAAGTCATAGAATTGCTTTGTCCCGTGGAATTCCTGCTTATAAGATACATGAACATACAATTAGAACAGGTATTTATTCAATGTATGCTGCAGGTAGGCTACAATAAATTTATTATTGTTTAATATTATATATATCTAATTTTTTCACTGTATGGGATTATATAGGGGAACATATTACATTACAAACTTTGCAAAGCAAACCTTCAAAACATTGATGATGTTCAGTTGTCTCTGACTATGTTGGGGAAAGGACTTAAATATTTGCAGTTTAGATGGCAAAGTTGCAAACATTCTAACAGGAAGCCCCCAATGGAGCAACCATATATTGCACAAGAAGAGACTGCAATTTTACGACAATATAAAGAAAATCAAATCTCTGCTTGTTCTTTCAGACCAGTATTTCTTGATGAAACCTGGATTTACAGTAAGGGTGGATTTAGAAAGAGCTGGCAAGATGGCAGTCTACAAACAGTTCGTAAAACATCTGGAGAAGGAGTAAGGTACATGTTTTTTACATATTCATTGGTTCACTTATAGGTCAGTTAGAAGATGGTTAGAAGGGAACAAATAGAGATACAAACAATAATACATGATAACTGTTAAGTTGTTTCTAGTAAGTAACATATGAGCCATGCACTGCACAACTCAGTTAACTCCACTTTTAAAAATTTTTAAATTTAAGTGTAAAACCAATTGTAATATTCAAACAGTTTTCCAAAAAATAGACAAATAATAACCTCTGATGTTTGGAAAATGTTAAGTTATTAATATACCAACTGGATTTATACAATTTAAACCCTCAAATATGACCACATTCATCAACTTAAAACGAGGAAAGGGGGCAGAATTACCAGTAGAAATTTTGTGATGGAAAATCGCTAGGCTCCATGCCAAGGCCGTTTGTGAAAAGTGATTCCTAGTTCTTTCTCTCATTACAGATCTTAGAATTGTAAGCACAACAAAACACCATACTTAAATAATAATTGTTTCAAGTCTTTAAAAAGCTTTTTACAGCACAAAATACAAAAAAACACACAATTTTTAGGAGCCAATCACAAAATTTGATATTGGCCCTAGATGTCGATTACGCGTCCCCTCTCTTTGCTTGTCTAAGGTGCATGAGCAGTAAACAGCTGATATAACGATAATGTTTCTAACCTAAAGAGTGAATGCAAAGAAAAACATAAAACGTTACATCTGCATAGCAACAAGTGTGCACCAATAAATGCATGGGATTATATCGATTACATTGTAGTTTAACTGTAAAGAAATGTACCTTGTACTTCATTTTTGGGTATGTATGATAGTGATTTTTTAAGGTATATTGTATTGCATGCTGGGTCAGAAGATGGATTTGTGGAGAATGCTAGCTTAGTTTTCAAATCAGGCACTAAATCGGGTGACTACCATGATTCAATGAACTCGGCAAATTTTGAAAAGTGGTTTGAAGAACAATTAATTCCAAATTTAGGTGATAATTCACAATAAGCTCTTAGGAATTATATTATGATTTTTTTAAAATTATATTATGTTTAATGGGAAAATCTAATATTGTCTAATCTAAAATTTAGATGAACCATCTCTGATTATAATGGATAATGCTCCATACCACAGTACCCTTTTCGAGAGAACTCCAAATCAGAGTTGGAGTAAGGAATCCCTGATTAATTTCTTGCAAGGAAAGGGAATTCAATCACCACCTCTGGCAATGAAAGATCAGGTTTGGAATATAGTCAAGCAGAATGTTGCACCTAAGAAATACAAGTAAGTCAACAAACAGTCTTATTACTTTGACATGAATGCAATTGTATATGCGATATGTTGATTTAACATTATAACTTTATTCCATTGCATTTATTTGGCAGACTGGACGAATTACCCAATGAGAAAGGACATCGTGTGTTGAGACTTCCTCCATATCATTGTCAGTACAATCCCATCGAGATGGTATGGTCAGAATGCAAGCGCTACTATGATGCCAAGATTAGTGCCATTCATCCTGTTACAAGTGATGCAGTATTAGGTCTTTGGAAAGAAGCACTTGAGAAGGTAGATTACATGTGGTTTAGATTATTTTATATTAAAAGAAAGTTTTTATTTTAGGTTACACCAGAGAAATGGAAGAATTATATCAGACATACCAATAGCATAATCGATAAAGCATGGGCCCAAGAACAACTGATTGATGCCTCCGATATTCTACCTGTAATTATTGACACGAATGATTCCGATTCAGATGAGGACAATTATTTAACTGAGGGAGAAGAAAGTGTGTAGTGTTTAGTGTCTAGTATTATTTTTCATACATATTGTTTTATGTTGTACAGTGTGAGTCAGTGACAGAGTATAGAGTAAATTTAATTAGTAAATTATGTAATACGTAACT